TCTCAGCAAGGAGAAGAATGTGCCTGGCACTGAGGAAAAAAACACGTGCTCCCTTATTTGGACTTGGCTATTACTCTGAGTGAAATGGGGAATCTTTGGAGAGTTTTGAGTAAAGGAGGGACGTGATCTAGCTTGCATTTTGAAAGGATCTCTCTGACTGCTCTGCTGAGAATAAACTGCGGAGGTGGGGAGTAGAGACCAGACAGAAGCAGTGAAAACTGTCAATAGGTAGCTCTAGGACATAGAGGCTGGGGCCAGGGTGGTAGCAGTGGAAAGGGTAAGAGGGACAGATTCTGGGTATGTTTTGAAGGGAGAGCCAACAAGATTCCCGTTGTATCGAGTGAGAGAGCGATGTCAAGGATGACTTCAAGGCTTCTGTCTGAGCAACTGTGAGCAGGATGGAGCAGGTAGAGCAAGATGGAGGGAAGATGGGGAGCTCAGTTTTAGAAGGATTGAGTTTGAGGTGTCTACTAGACACCCAAGCAAAGATGTTCAAAGGCAGTTGGATATTAGTTTGGAGTATGGGAGTGAGATTCGGCCTAGAGATACTTGGGAGTCATCAGCATATTGGTAGTATTTAAGGCCATGGGAGTGGATACAATTATAAAGGGAATGAGTGTAGATGGAGAAAAGAGGACCAACGACTGGTCCTGGGGCACATCAACAGTAAGAGGTCAAGGAAAGGAGAAGGAACCAGCAATGGAGATTGAGAAGGAGCAACTACCAAAGTAGATGTAAAAGCAAAAAGGGGTGGTGTCCTGGATGATGTGTGAAGAAAGTTGATCAAGGGGAAGGTGGTGAACAACTTTATTAAATGCTGCTGAGTCTAGAAAAATGAGAACTGAAAAGGCCCTGATGTAGCAATATGAAGGTCATTGGTAACCTTGGTGAGAGGAGTTTTGGTGCAGTGTCAGAGGGCCAAAGCCTCATGGGAATAGGTTTGAGGGAAATGAGAAAAGAGGAACTAAAGAGAGAAAGAAAAAGCAAAGAGTTTTGCTGCAAAGGGAGCAAATAATTAAAGGGATACCTGGCAGGGAAATAGGGACAAGAGAAAGTTTGCGTTTGTTTTTTATTAATGAGTGAAAAAATGAGACTAGCCTATTCCAAATGTAGGTAATGCAAGGGAGAAAGGCAAGAATTGCTAGAGCAACATCCTTGAGTAAGCAAGGGAGTATAGCTTCTAGTTTATACATGGGCATGGAAAATTCATCTACGCTTAACGGGAAGGAGAGAAGAATATATGGGGACAGATGCTGACAGGTGGGGAAATGGGGTGGTAGAATCTGGAAGCTCTCTGATTGCTACCATTTTTTCAGTGAGGTAGGAAGCAAGGTCATCAGCTGAGCGCTGGCTCTACTTTGAAAATACATCAAGAATCCAATCACTTTCTCATTACTTCAGCTGCTATCACCCCCGTCCGAGCTATCAACTCTCACCCAAATTGTCGCCATGGTCTCCTGACTGGTCTCCCCTCTTCTGCCCTTGCACCATCACAGGTGTTCTATTAAAACAGAAGTCCAATCATGTCACTCCTCTGCTCCAACCCTCCAATGGCTTCCCATCCTACTCAGACAAAAGTCAAAGTTGTTGCTCACTCCCCACCTTCCTTCTGCAGCCTCACCTTCTAGTACTTTCCTCCTCACACACTCTGTACCTTCCACAGCAACCTCCTTGTCCCCACCAGTCATGACCCTTCCTCAGGACCTCAGAACAAGCACTACCCACTGCCCAGTATGTCTCAGTGTGGCTTCCCTGACCAAGTTAAAGCAACAGCTCCTATTCCTTACACTCCCTATCCGCCCTCCCTGCTCTATTTTTCTTATAACACTTAACAACATCTAATACACAAGATACTTAATTTACTCATTCAGTTCATTATCTGTCTCTCCTGACTAGAGTGTAAGTTCTGTGTAAGCAGGGACTTGTACCTTGTTGTTTATAATGCCTTTCCCAGTGCCTAGAACAGCACCAGGTGCATAATTTTATTTATTTATTTATTTATTTATTTATTTATTTATTTTGAGGAGGATTAGCCCTGAGCTAACTATTGCCAATCTTCCTCTTTTTGCTGAGGAACCCTGGCCCTGAGCTAACATCTGTGCCCATCTTCCTCTACTTTATATGCGGGATGCCTACCACAGCATGGCATGCCAAGAGGCGCCATGTCCACACCTGGTATCCAAACCGGCGAACCCAGGGCTACTGAGAAGCAGAACTGCGCACTTAACTGCTGCACCACCTGGCCGGCCCCCATAATTTTAGAATGAGTAAATTTCAGAACAATGCTGTGAGGCCAGGACCTGTTGCGGTCACTCCACAAAAACAAGATGTGCCTCCCACCAAAATTTGGTTTGATCGTTGACAGTGAAGACGCCACACATGTACTAAGACGGTATGAAAAGGTTTATTCCTCACATAATGTGTCTTTCTGGGAAGAGTAGGGCTGTCTCCTAAGCTCATCTGAAAGTGGTATTAGAGAGCCTGGAAAGGATACTGGCCTGGGCTTTCGTTGTGGTTGGGGAGTGGGGCCGGGGTGAGGATTCCCAAGCACAGTCTTGTAGTTTGATCCTCCTGCTGTGCCCAAGGAGGGAGCATCTGCACTTTCTTATCAGCTTGCCCAGATACAGGGCAGAAGAAGAAGGGAGAGTGATGGCTTGAAAGCTGGTAGCAGTCAAACATCATAAATGGAGTCAGAATCTTTATTACAGAACCCATGGCAGGTAGAGTGTTGATATGTTAGTGGGTTTATTACAGAACAGAACCCATGGCAAGTAGGGTGTTAGTGTGTTTCATGTTCTCTGATTCTACCTGGGGGTATAGCACATCGGATCTGCAATTGATCTGACGGCTAGGCAAACTGCCTGATTTTCCAGATGAAGAAGACTGAGTCCAGTTCCACTGTGTTGTCCTGTCTCTGTAGATCCCAATGTAAGCTGGCTCGGTGGGGGGGGGGGGGGGGGGAATGGCTCCCCTATAGCAAGCCCTAGGGCTGTAGGTTCTTAAAAACAATCTTGAACAAGTTTTTTTTGACTCTCAGAACCTCTGTCTAAAAATTCTTATAATAATATCTGCTGTGCTATTTGTCAGAGTGAAGGATTCAGTGGAAGAATGTTTATAAAGTGCCAGCACATCGTAGCACTCTGTGAATAGTCATTGCTAGAGTCAGAACACAGTGGCCTTTAGCTAAAAACCATTTGGTCTGGGAATACTTAAGAGAACACTTTTAAGTGTAAAATGGGTGGAATATAATTATTTCATTTTAGGCGGTAACAGAAATGAGGACTATTGTTTTGTTGTGGGTTTTTTTGAGTTTTACTTTTAATTAAGAAAGATTTCAAATAAACAGAAAGTAGAGACATTAGCATAATGAGCACATCAATACCCCTTACATCAATCTAACAACTGTTAATATGCTTCTCCTTTGATTTATCTATTCATTTTTGTTGCTGAAGCATTTTAAAGTAAATTAAAGCTATAATTACATTTTATCCCCAAATACATCAGCATGCATATTTTAAATAAACAAGGATATTTTCCTATATAGCTACAATATCATCACACTTAACAGAAATGATTGCTTAATAGCATTTAATGCCCATCCATATTCAAATTGCATTATTCAAATTGCATTAAGACTTCAGTGGGGTGTTTCATGAGACTTTGAGTCAAATTCCCCTTCATGGGTCTAAAATTCCTCCTCCCACAAGGCATCACGCAATTGATGATTTTCTCCTTTCTCATGGGAAACATACGGGATTAGAAAATTGTGACTGTGGTAAATTTCCCAAAAGATAAATTAGGTATATTACAACAAGGAGGAAAAAAATAATGTTTGCAAAATTCCTTGAACAAGTCTCAGTTTTGTAATTATACTTATTTGCCTTAACATCGTGTATTGAAGAAAGCCTGCCTATTGAACCTGTCTCAAATGAGACAGTAAAGTTCTGGTAGGATGTCACAATTTCCCATAATTTTGCCCCAGGGTGTGTGATAAAAGGGCTCTGCTTGTGCCCATAGAGTTTAGCTTAGGGCAGACTGCTCTCTGTGTCATCCTCCTCAGACTAACGGAGTGTGCTGTGAGGGTGGGGCAGGAGGCCTTATCTGCTCAGATGTCCGCAGTAATCTCACATTCTGTGGAGGGTGAAAGTGGTGAGGTAATATGTGAGCGGTGCTTAGCTTTGTCTTGGTTGGAGGATAAATAAAACAGTAGAACCACCCTTTGACTTTGCTGACTTTTCGTGACCCAAAACTGCCATTCCAATGCTTACTTTATTTTCAATTTTTTAAAAAAGTTAAGGTATAATGTGTATATAGTAAAACACAGAGATCTTAAGTGTATAGCTCAATCAGTGTTGAAGAATACATGTACCCATGTAACCTACAAACTCTATCAAGTTCTTTAAAGCATTCCCATTACCTCAGAAAGTTCACCAATGCTCCTTTCCAGTCAATCACCATCTCCAGAAGCAACTACTATTTCAATTTTTGCCGCTCTGTGTTAGTTTTTCCTGTTCTAGAACTTCATATAAATGGAATTATACATCATCTACTCTTTTGTGTCCAGCTTCTTTCATTCATGTTTGTGAGATTCATACATGTTGTGTACATTAGTTGTTCATTCCTTTTTATTACTGACTAGCATTGCATTGTAACCTATGGTATCCCACACTATAGTTTATTTTTCCATTTTCCTGCATGGACATTCTTATATATTTTAAAGAATCGAAACCAGGCATAGCCTCCAAAAGGGAACAATGCTCCATTATTGCCAGGTTCTGAACAAGAGGGTGGAGAAACAGGCACACATCCGAGGAGAGTTGAGTGCTTATACAAAAAAATTCCATCTACTTCCCTCAGCTCCTCATTTTGCTTTGCGTAGAAATTCCCCATCAAAGAGGTTGGAGAGCTTTAAAGATTTTGACTATTCAATTGAGATGGTGCCAATTCCTCATCATTTTGTTTCCTATTTCAGTTATTTTTTTCTCTTTCTTTTATTGTAGGATTTGCACTTCTGGGAGGACACCCTTGTTTTCTGACCACACAAGATATTCATTTGGGAGTGAATGAAAGTCTCACAGACACAGCCCGGTTTGTAAATCTTCTTCTCTCTAAAGCTTCTTTCAGATTTGAAGGATAAATTTCAAAAAGAAAATATGCTTCTCTTTAAATATGGTTTTTTCTCTTAGTGTCCTTGTACTGCTCTCTGTTCTCCTTCTTTCCCTCTTTATCTGATGTTCTGAATGCTTCTCCCTCATCCTCTGGTCACTTTCTATGGGTTAAGATAATTTTTTTCTTAACAAATTGAAGAGCTTTCTGTTTATAAAATTTCAAACTTAGGAAAACATGGAAATCATCAAGCACGACTCTTACATTTTACAATTGAAGAAATGGAGAGCCAGAGAAATGGATATGTTCAATGACTCACAACTAGTTAGCACCAAAGCAGGCAATAACATTAACAGCTAACGTTTATTGAGCGTTTGTTATCTGTCAGTCATGGTGATAACTCAGTTAATCCTTATAACAACCCAAACAGATTGGCATAAAGAGGTAAAACAGCTTAATTAGGGACATACTAGCTACTATACACAAAATCTCAAAATCTCAATGGCTCGAAATAGTGCAGACGTTCCTAATTGGTAATTTATTTATTTATGTGGCCATTCAGGGACTCTGGATGAGAGTAGCTCTATCGTCTTTAAAGTGTGGCCTCCAAGGTCACCCTGGGTGTCAACACCCAGCCAGGAGCTAGGGGAAGAGAGCATGGAGAAGGGATACTTCCTTCAAAGCCACTTTAGCAGAGAATTACCACGATTACTTGCACTCACATTCCATTGGCAAGTACTGGTAGCTCACCCCTACCTAGATGAAAGTAGAGGTGGGAAAAGGCTCGTAACCACTATACTATAGAAAAAGACTGAAACATAGGCCCTCTGACTCCCCGTGCAATGTTCTCACCATTGTATCATGCCTGGTTGAGAAATCCAGAGCAAATGTCTTTGTTAAATATTTTGCCCTTGATATCAAAGACTGATGATTTTTTTCTGAAAATGATGCACCATAAAGTAACTCTTTGCACACATTGTCTGCTTTTCATGGCAGCTACCCTATTATATACTAAAGAATCTGCCTCATTTGAATTGCTGAAGAGATTTCAAATAACTCATTTTTAAACACTTAGTTACATTATTTCAGATGGGACAATGTTAATACCAAGAAAAAAGTGTTGTGTTCATCTTCTAGACGTGAGGGACAAAAAGAATAAACAAACATAAATGAGTTTTCCTTCCAAATATGCTGCCACTGACTGGGATTATATTTGCCTAATAATTCTGCTTCCACAAAAGTGAAATATACTTTATTCAAGAGCAGATATTATAATCTGGTTAAGGGATGAAGCCAGGGGCATAGCCCGGAGAGAAATTTCAGCGGGGATCCTCCGTATAGGACCAAGTGAATGATGGTGAATGCGTCGTGTGTGAACTAGTGGTTGGAAAAGGATACAGTTGGAGGAACAGCTGGGCATCCAATCAAGAGTTAAGGAGTGCAGATTGGCAACCAGAAAGAGGTCAGGGCCCAGAAATCAGTGGAGTGGGCAGGACCCCAAAAGCAAGAGAAAAATAGTCAAGCCTAGACTGAAAGCTGAAGACGAGTGTAAACATATTTTTTTCTGTGCTTACTCTCCAGACAACAATTCCCACTGCAAGTTCTTAGTTACAAGAACTCTACACAGATCCCGAGAAAAACAATCTGCTCAGAAGCTCTAACGTGATTGGGACCTCTTAGTCCATATAATTTGTTCCATTGCTACATGGATACATAAAATTGGATCTATAGAATTACTTCTGATCATTCATTCTTATCCAAAAAAAGATTTAAGCTCCTCCTTAAAAGGTGTATACTATGGATCTCTTGTACTATTACTGCTAAATCATTGTAAAAATCTTACAAAGTAAATATTATTGGCCCAGTTTTATAGACAATGTAACCTTGACTCAGAGAATTAATGGAGCTTAGCACCTAAATTAGGGTTTAAATCATGCTGTTTTTTTAAAGATCATGCAGTTTTGACTACCCCTACTGCCTCTTCTATATAGTTCATGAGAGAGAAAGTGAAATAAGTTATGGAAAGCATTGGCTCGTGTGTTACAAGGTCCCCAAGACCACCCCCATGTTTGATGACTCACCAGGAGGTTTCACAGGACTCAGCATATAATCATACTCAAGGCTATGATTTATAACAGTGAAAGGAACCAATCCACACAAATCAACAAAGGGAAAAGGCACATGTGGTGAAGTCTAAGGGAAACTGGGTACAAGCTTCCAAGAGTCTTCTCCTGGTGGAGTCACTCAGGACACAGATAATTCCCTTGGTAACAGGTTGTGACAACACATGTGAAAAGCTGTCAATCAGGGAAGCTCCTTAGAGACTCAGTGCCCAGGGTTTATATTGGGGGACAGTCACATAGCATCCTCTGCCTGATATGTACCCAAATTCCAGACTCCCAGGAGGAAAGCTGGTGTTCATTTTAAACCATATTGTTTGTAAAAACATTTTAGACTCAGTGAGCCACTTTTATAAGTCCTGGGAATGGCGGAACCCCTCCCCAAATAGATGTTTCCAGATGCCATCCAAGGGCCAATCTTACAAGCAGAACTTTCAAAGTCAAGGCTGCTGTGTCTTTTCTGTACAGCTTGGAAGTCATGAGACTTGAGATCTAGTCCAAGCTTTGCCACTTACCTACTCTGTGACCTCCGTAGGTGAAATGTCTCTGAATCTTAGTTTCCTTTTCTATACAGGGAGAGAGTTCTGATCCTTAAGATCTACTTTATACTCTCAAAGGCATGCAAAGGTATTAGATATAAAGTTGTAGTCATTAAACAGAAGTGTGTCCCAATGTAAACCATATGCAGACAGATACAGAGTAATTTGGACCAGGGTAGAAATGGGAGGTAGACAGATTAATTTCAAGGGCTCTAAAACTAGTAAGAGAATTATGTTGGGGAACTTGTTAAAATGCGGAATTCTGGGTTCCACACTCAGAAATTCCAATTCTGCAGGTTAGGGTTCAAATGGTGCCTGGGAATCTATATTTTAACAAGATACCCAAATGACTTTGCTTCAAGAGTGGCTGGACCACACTTTGAGAGACCCCGAGTTGGGAGGTTGTATAGTAATCCTGTGCTGTTGTGCTGGCAGTCTAGGCTAGTGTCATAGTGAAGGAAATGGTAAAGAAGGGACAGCTAATAAGACATTTATATGGTTTCACAATAACTAATTGTGAAGCATAAATTGATAGTGGAGGCAAAATGATTTCAGATTTGTCATTCTTAAAATATACATGTATATATTAGCACAAGCAGGAAAATGAAAGGAGTTTCTGCTTTGAGAAGAAGGTGATAGATCAGGAATTGGACATATTGCATTAAAGGTTGAATCTCCAAGGACAAATGACCACAAGGCATCGGAGATAAAGACCTTGAGTGAAGTTGAGAGCTGGAGAAACAGAAGTACAAACTCAGTGGTAGAAAATGAGCTCCACGGTGTCACTGAGGGAGAATTGCAGAAGGCTAAACCTTGAGGACAGGTGCAGTTAGGGAGGGGCAGGAGGAAATCATCAAGCTACAAGGAAAATAAGGATACTGTGATATCAGAAAAGGCTGGCATGGGAGATGAGGGATGTCAGAAAGGGGGGTAGAGTAGCTACTGTGGAAATCTGACTTTCTTCTGTGCACCCCATTACTACTTAGTCTGCCAAAATGTCTGACAAACAAGATATGGCAGAGGTTCAGAAATTCAAGAAATCTAAATTGAAGAAGAGAAATCCACTGCTTTTCACAGAAGCAATTGAACAGGAGAAGCAAGGAAGTGAATCTTAATGACATCTACCCTGCCGATAGGCACCGTACATTCCAGAGCAATTGCCTCCTTGCTTTTTGTAGAAGTTAAACTTTGTAAGATGCGAAGAGATTGGATGATGTTTAAATGACATTGCTGGCCCTTTCAAATCAAGAGAATAGTGCGCACCTGACGCTGATTGACGGCGTGGATTCTCCATCTGCCTTTCTGGCTGCTTTGGGGGCCTGGTGGGATAAAAACGTGACTGCACATTGGTGGAAGAAGAACCCGAGGGGAAACACAGTGGATGTGGCAACATTCGCACTGAAAAAAATCAAAATTAGACCAGTCTCCCGAAAGCTGTTACACGCAATTTCCAAAGTGTCACTTATTTATTCAAATGATTTAATTATTCATTTATTCAAAACTATTTCTTGAATGCCTAGTTTTTCTTCCAGGAATTGTTTTAGCACTGATAACAAATGCTGATCCAATCAAACAAACTCCTCGTTCAAGTGGAAATTATACTCTGGAGGGAGGAAGCTTACACCAAACAAATGAATAAAGCATAAATAGGATAGCAGGTTAAAATAAGTGCTATGAGGATGCTAAAGCACGGTGATCTGTGGGGGTGTGGGGCGGGGGCTACCTTAGATCGGTGGTCAGGGAAGGCCTCTCTGAGGAGGTGACAGTTAAGAACTCATTGAGGACAGAGCCCGCTATGCAAAGCTGTGGGAAGAGCATTGCAGACAGAAAAAAACTGCTGGATAAAAGCTTAAGGCAAGAACAAGCTTGATGTATTCAGAAACAGAAGGAAAGCCAGCAATGTTTTAAAATCTGCAAATAAACATATTTTAAATCTGAAAATTAAAAAAAAGTACCCTTACAAATTGGTCCTGTCTCAGCCACCAAAGGAAGGAAAAATAAAATCAGATCAGGGAGTAAAAAACCTAAATACACATTCAAAATAAAATGTATTGCTCTTTTCTTTCTTGTTTACAATAATAAAGCCCGTTCACTCTTCAAAATATTTGGGTGAGTTCTCCTTAGCTAATTCTGAGTTGAGTGGTGTGTAATCTGAGGGTGCTAGTGGGGAGTGAAGGGGAGCCCTGAGGTGGAGCTGTCGGCTGAGATTGTGGAGGAGCTGGGGGTCTGCAGTCCCCAAGATCATCCCCAGGTTTGATGACGCCTTAGCACTCACAGGACTCAGCATGTAGTTGTATTCACAGCTAAGATTTATCACAAAAAA